CTCTTCTAAGGAATTATAAGAATGAAATGCTGTGGAGTAAATCAAGTGTGCAGTAGAATGCCAACCACATAGAAAATGTTATCCAGCTGTTACTACTACGGAGCCAAAGACAGAAGGGGGCACCAGAAGTCATTGGTCCCAGCGCACTTGCCAAGGTTGTTGCTGATGTGTTTATTGGATGTTTAAATCTGCGTAGGTGTTCCCACGTTAGTGTTTGCTTTTGTTCAGTAGGTGGGTGGTGCTTCTATTCAACACTAGCACGACACCTTGGCATGGTCTTTCTGTCACGTGGTCTAAAAATATATATGTAGCAGATGCTGCAAGCTGTTGCAGGCTTTCACTTTGGAAATATACCTTACCTTAAAAAAAAATCCTAAATCAATTTATAAATAAATTTTTTAAGAAATGTCAGCCAATAAGACAGTAGCTAAATAATCTACATCATGTAAGTAATTGAGCATTACCTATTTAAAATAGCAAGCATGTGGAATATACACACATATATAAAGAAATGGTAGTTGACAAAAAAAATAGCCCTAATATAAGTTGATTACCTTTTTGTTAAAATGACTGTCTATATTAACAAAGATTGAGAAAAATGATTTTTTTTTAATGCGGTACTGGAGATTGAACTCAGGACCCTATGCTTGCCAGGCAAGTGCTTATTTTACTGAGCTATCTCTCCAGCCCCAAGATTGAGAAAATTTAGAGGGAAATATTCCTTTCTCAAATTACTTAACTCCATAAGATATTTTAACAATGAGTGAGGAATATAATGTTACATAAACTTTTTTGAACAAAGCATATGAAATTAGAATAATTTAGAGATCTGCCTAAGGCAGACCCTTGACCAAAACATAGAAGGAAATGATTATTCCCAAAGTGGGTCAATCAGAATGACTGTCCTATAAACCTGAAATTCCACCTACACAACAGTACTCTTTTTTTTTTTTTTTTTACAAGAAATAAAGACTTTTCCTCCCATTCCTGGCCTGCCCACCTCTCTACCGAAAAACAGAACTAAACTGTATAAGTCATCCTTAGGTAGATGTTCATGCTGGAGATCCCCAAATGGAGATTCCCAACCTGGCTCCTATCATGTTGTCTTAGTTAAGCTCTTATTGCTGAGACAAAATATCCAACACTTTCAAGTTAAAGGAAGAAAGGTTTATTTTAGCTTATACTCTGCAGAGATTTCAGTCCATAGTCAGGTGGCATGGCAGACGGGCATCACAGAGGAGAAACAGTTCATGGCAAAGCAGGAGGCAGGTAACAAAGCAGCAAGCAGCAGCACAAGCCTGCCTTCCCTCTCTCCCTTTATATTCCACCTAGACTACAAGTCTATTGAGTAGTGCCACCCATGCCCAAAGTGGGGCTTCCATTATCCACACCCAGAACTATGCTAAGTCCATTTAGTTGTCACCAACCCTTAATTCCAGTGTCACCCACCCTAAATCTAGCTATCTCCAAAAAGTCCCACCTACAAGTACATGAGGCTTTGGAGGAACAGCCACATATAAACTATAGCAAGGGTTTTCCTCTAAAGTCTACTTGCTGTGTCCTGACTGGACCTGCAATTCTAATCATTTACAAAAGTCAAGCTACCAACTGAGTGAAGCCTTGACTGCTCCAACTCTATTGGTTATACCACTTTAATAGAGCCAGTCATGGTGGCACATACCTGTATCCCCAATAATATGGAATGCTGAGGTAGGAGGATCACAAGTTTAAGCACAGCCTGGACAACCTAGCAATTTAGCAAGACCCTGTCCCTGTCCCAAAATGTAAAAAATGTTTTAAAAAGGTGGAAATATAGTTCAGTGCAAAGGCCCAGAGTTCAATTCCAGTTCTAAAACAAACCAACCTGCACCAAAGAGGGCAAGCTTGTTCCCATAGGTCAGGGGACAGAAATGAAGACCTCTTGGTGAGACACCTTAACAGATAAATCAGTTCATTCAGAACAAGGAACAATTCACAGGAATACTGCTTCTGCCCATCTGCTGCAACACAAAATCATACATAAACAAAAATTCACATGCAGGGCAAAAGGTTGTCTTCAGGTTTCAACAAGCCATTTAACAAAGTCATTTATAGAGGTAAATCATAACACCAGGAATAAAGGGTCTCTGTTCATTTAATTCTGTCTGAGAGTTTCTCAGGGAACATGTCAGCCAGGACCACAGATCAGGATCCTCCAAAAGGTGGTTTCAGTTTTTAATTTTTTGGTACCAGGGATCAAACTCAGGACCTTGTGCTTGCCAGACAGGCACTTGTGCTGCTGAGCTATCTCCCAGGCCCCTAAAAAGGTGGTTTTAGAATCACTGGTCCAGTTCAGTTTGTCACTAGCAGCACCCTTCTTGGGCTGACTCATCCTTGGTTTAGCAAGCTAAATATTTGTTATTTGGGCTCTGGAGTGGTATTTCTATATCTATACCCCACCTTTTGAGGGAATGAAGACTGCAGAAAAATTTGAAACAGTAATGATAAAAATCAGTTTTATTTTAGAAGCGGAAATCTCTGCCAAAAAGAGAGAAATTGCTAAACAAGATATTTCTGAAGGGCAGAAGAAACTGCCGATTTCAGGTGGAGGTGCCCAATTCTGGTGCCAGCATGGCCACCAGCCCACTTTACCCTGTGGCTGGTAACTGATAAATCCATCTATCAGTGAAGAAATTAGATTATCAGACTAGCTGTGTTTCCCTTTTTTGGTTTTCTGAAGCAGAGTCTCACTTCGTAGACAGACTGCCTGGAATGCACTGTGCAGCCCAGGCTGTCCTCAAGCTTGAGGTGATCCTCCTGCCTCGGCCTCCTAAGTGCTGAGATTACAGGTGTGCCACCATGCAGACTCACAGATTTCCAAGACTTAGTCTGGTAACTCCACATTCTTCATTTCCTAATTTCATGGCTTCAAATCTTGCTCATACTGTATTTCCCACCTTCCTGAGAGACCTCTGCACCTATGTCCAGAGCCCCGTTTCTCAAGCAGCTGTTGGCCCTTGGCAGTGGCCTCGGATCACCTGGCCCATCTGAGTCCCCTTCTGCCACTCCACTGTGAGGAGGGTAGAGATGCCTGGCTCCTTCCTGACTGTCTCACAAGAGTTATAAAGGCCAGCTCAATTTTACAAAGTTGGATTCCTCCAAAGAAGATCTGCCTGGGTACAGCATTTCAGCTTGGGAACTGTAATTATTGTTGTAACATCCAGGAGCCCTGAGTGACACAAAGGAGCAGGTATAAGCATGCCTTGTTTTCGTGGTAATGGAGTGGAAAGAGGCCATAGAAGCGTCCAAGAGACCCATTTCCTTTACAGATAAAGACACAGAAAGCTGAAGGGGTAACCCCAGGCCATCAGCCTGCGTCTGGTGCTGGAGCGGGAGCCAGGGCTCCCAACACATGTGTTCTCTACAGCATCTGAAAGGAGGCCAGAGAGCGGGGTCTTGGTTCTCAAAGCCCGTGGTGGGCTGGTTTCCGGCTACTGAATGTGTATGCGACATTTACAACAAGCCACAGGAGAAAAACGACCCCATATCTGCGTACACAGCATCTGAACACTGATAGAGCCACTGTACCCAACCGGAGGAGACTTGGAAATCCCCCCCTCCAGCCCATGGACTCCAATTTCATCAGAAAGATAGAACCCACGCGCATGGAGACAGTCTGGAAGCGCAGGAGTGAGGAGCATGAAGAAGCCACGGGGTCGCCCCACACGGGCCAGTGGAGTCCGGCTTTGCACTTCAGGCCATGAAGAAGCCACGGGGTCGCCCCACACGGGCCAGTGGAGTCCGGCTTTGCACTTCAGGCCAGGCGCAGAATAGCACCGGGAGGGTTCTGCGGGGAGGCCGCCTGCGCCGTCTGGGGCTGCAGAGGGAGTGACATCTGCCATCTTTGCTGACCGCCCCTCCCGCTGTCACCTTCCATCCAGCTTCCAGATCTGCGACCGCTAGTCTGTCCACCCCTTCAAGACATCTGTTGTAATTTCACTTATTTTTTCAACATACATGAAGTGAGCACAAAATATGTATGGGGTGCAAGAGAGCCAGAGAGGAGGACGGATTCCTGGAGATCTTGTCCTTTCAGATTTTGAGACATTTTCCTTTAAATGGTGCTGAGTTTTGGCATGTGTACATGAACATTTTTCTGGGATTTACACTATCGGATCTGTTGGCCTAAAACCATTAAGAACTGCCATAAACCAGGCATGGTGCGCACCAGCACTGTGGGAGGCTGAGGCAAGAAGACTGAAAGTTCAAGCCCGATCTGGGCAAGTTGGCAGTTTGTCAGACTCTGTCTTAAAAAAAAAAAGGTCGGGGAAAAGATGGTGGGCCATAGCCCAGTGCAAAGGCCTTGGATTCAACCCTGGTACCCCATGAAGCAAAGAGCCACCATAGGTGGTATGCATGCAAGCCTTACTTTATAGGGCCACCATCCTGGTCAGGGTCCTCACGCTGCCTACAGGGTCAAAGCAGCAGGGGCTGATGGGGCAGGGACAGGGAAGAGTGTCTGCCCGGAGCTCTGTATTTTCTGCAGAATTTCAGGAAGCTGTGCACACCCCCAAGTCCGTGCTCCCCACCCATGCCTCAAGAGTTGGCGTCCTCCTGTATGTGTGCCTTCGGCTCCATTGGCCAAGAAAGGCCATCATTGGGATGTGCGGACAGCCTGACCCCAGTGCCAGGCAGGTACCCATGCTAACCACTTCCTGGCAGATCTTTCATCCAGCCTGCAATCCCTCTGACTCATGCCCCACATGGAGGTCAGGGATGAGGAGTTCCCATTTATTCTGAAAGTCCAGTCGTGTCTGCCATGCTGGGTACCTGTGCGGTTGTCCTAGTGTGTAGATGGCATCCCTGGTATTCCTCCCAAGGAAGTGCTTTTGCAGAGCCACAGGGCCAGCCTGGCATACTGTCCAGGGCCAGAACATCTGCCTTGCTAGCGGTGGAGGGGAGGGAGGCCAGGGGACCCACCTGTCTCAGCGCCCTGCTGAACTGTGTTCTCCTCCCTGCAGAGAGAAGACACGGTTCCATGTGCGGGCCTTCGCCCTCGCCAGCGTCTCCGACCTGCAACCCCAGGACGGCTGTAGCACAGGGGAAGACCAAAGCCTGTGTCAGCAGCCATAGCTCTGCCAGCAGCACCTCAAAGCCATTCAAAACGCCCAAAGACAATCTCCTTACCTCCAGCAGCAAGCAGCACACAGTCTTTCCTGCTAAGGGATCAAGGGATAAACCATGGTGAGTGTCCATTCCTGTCACCGCCCCAAATGGTGAACGGGAACTGAGGAGGGGACCCAGCGTGCTGGTGTGGGATACCTGAACAGGAGAGGGGATACAGGGCCTTAAAGTGCTGAGTGCCAGACAGGGACATTTTTTTGCTCGAGAGTGGAGCAAAGTTGTGTCTAAGGACAGGGAAGAGGGGAACTCTTCCTCCGGGATAGGGTTGCCTCCCATGGAAAAAAGCGCTGGTGTGAATGTTCAGAAGCACACACAAACCACCCAGCAGTGCCAGGCAGCTCCTGCAGGGCCTCACCCTGCCCTCTGTTCCCCATCCCTGCCCCCGCCCCTGTCCCCTTCCATGTCCCCATCCCTGCAGAGCAGAGATATTTAGGGCTGTCCACAGAGGAGAGAAAGGGAGAAAGCCCGTGTCTCATGTGACTGGGAAAAAAGAGGCTGTTAATTCAGTCTTAAATCCCAGTTTTTACCAAAAAGTCAGGCAAGGTCCCCTTTGGGATGGACAGACAGGGCCCAGCTGCTGCCGCAGGTGATAGCGTTTGCAAAAGCAGAGCCCCCTGTGTGAGCTCTCAGCACTGGCTTGTTATGGTGCCACTGGCCGTCTCCTCTGGACCTCGAAGAGCTGGGCAGGGACAAGTGTGGGGCTGCCTCTGCATATGTTTAAGGAGCAACAGAGCATCATCCATTAATGATACTTAGTTACACTTAGCACCATACTAGGAAAGCTGGATAGAGAATCGCCCATCAGTGGGTTTGTGTCTGCACACTGGAAATTATGATGGCTCGGTGAAGTAGCGAATTACACTGGATCAATGAAAGGGCCTCTTGTGCCATGTGGAGAGGGAGACGTGGCTGGGGGAGGGGTCACCCATTCTCACGGGCCCTGGGGACAGGCTTTGTTCTCCACAGGCCGCTAGGTCACGGGTCTGTCATCTGGGACATCACTGGCTAGAGAAGGCCCGGCCTGACAGGGACAGTTGGTGACTTCTGGCAGGACTAGGCCGTGTGAATCTCTCAGGGCCACTCTGTGTCCCTGCTCCATGGCCTGGGCGTGTGTAGGCTGAGGCTGCATGTGCTGTGCTGTAAGGTGTGCTCCCGACTGTGGCCCTGTGGGAGTCAGTTCATCTTGTTGTGTCTCCATTTCCTGACTTGTAAATGGGATGACCATTCGCTGTACCCCACAGGACCGTGGCCAGGAAGGCCATGGTACCGTGTCTGGGTATGTGGATCATAGCACACGTTCATGTGCCCTTGAGGGGGATCCTGCCCTTGTCCATGCCATTTGAGAGCTTCAGGGCCTGGGGTCAATGCTGGGAAGTCCAGTCAGCTTGAAAAATAAGAGAATGGCTCTTCAGACTCAAGAGTGAAGAGGAAAAGAATAAAATAATTTCTTAAGGGCTGGGGATGTAGCTTACTGATAGGGTGTTTGCCTAAAATGTACATATCCCTGAGTTCAGTTCCCCGCACTGCCCAAAATAATCAGACGAAAGAACCACCCAGCTCTGAGGTGTAAGAAATGAGCTAAGGAGACCCAGGCAAGGGCCCTGCAGGTGGGCCTGGCTTGAAGACAAACTGGCCGTGTGAGAGAGCCAGGGTCTCCGATAGCCCACAGCACTCAGATGAGCTCTCTGGCAGGCAAACCTCAAGGGACCCCTGAGGTTTGGATAGTGCCCATGTTCAGGCCAAGAGAGGTGTAAAGGACTCTAGGGACCAGCAGGGTCTGGACTAAGCAGCCCAGAGGATTGCAAGGAGGAAGTGGCCCTTGGGGAAACAAAGGCCCTGGAAACAGGGGAAAGAAGAGAGCTAAGGGGTGGGAGGAAGGGAGAGAGAAGGAAAGGAGGGAGGGAGGGAACGAGGGAA